CTACAGCATAAATCAGTACGGTACGAACATAATAGTGTTAAAATTTAACTAGATCAGCACTTACCCGGAAATAGTGTGGATAAGCAAGAAAGGAGCATTTCCTTAGTCAGCTAATCATACTTTTCTGGTTCAAATGGTAGAGGCAGTAAGAAAAGTCTGTTCTGTCTTCTAGTACAATCGCACTTCTTTTTTCCGTATTATCCGTGAGATTCGGAGGTTTTTCTATCGTCGCTTCCGCCGAGCCGATTCTGATAAAATTATACCAATCGATAGTATTTCCTACGCTGATCACGAATTTCACATTTACGTGTGACTAGAATATCGTAGTAGTGCGCTGGAGGAGCTGCACGCATTTTTCGGAATAATACAAAATTTAAATTATAACTAACAACAACAACATTGCGCCTTTTCTTTCATACGTATATATATATCTAATGCTGTTAGCATGCACTATACATTATATGTACATGTAATAGAAGAACATTTCCTTGTGCTTTTTCTTCCTTCTACTTTTTACTTTTTTTTTTCCTTCTAAATTTTATTCTTGCTTGCTTGCGTGCTTTTATCTTTCCTTACATTAGAGCTTCCACAAATAGCGATTTTCTTTTTGTTTTCTTTTCTTATTCACGTTATATGTAGTGTGTACGAACGTTATAGGCTTCATGTAGATACGACGTATATATTCTTGTTTTCTTTTTTTATCTATCTATCACGTTTGTATGTATACATCACCTGCATATAGTGATATCACTCTATTCAGTTCCTTTTTATTGGGTGTGACAATTCTTTGTATCCCCTAATGGAAACTTCTTGATGTAAGAAGCTGCAAGAAAGCAAGAAAAAAACTAGAAAGTGGGACACTTCTTGCAGCAAGAAATGTTTCTAGCTTTCTTGGCTTAAGATCTTGTGCCAAGAAATGTAAGAAAACACTTCTTGCATTTCTTGATCCAAGATTTTGAGGCAAGAAAGCAAGACGTACCGTTCTTGCCTGCAATAAGATTATTTCTTGTGTTTCTTGACGCAAGATTTCGTGGGTCAAGGAATCTGATTGTATATTTTTTGGAACAAGAAATTAAATTTCTTGGATTTCTTGCAGCAAGATCTCGTCCCTAAGAAATGCAAAAAAAAGAAGTGACACTTTGTTATGATCTGCCATTCCTGGCAGCTCATAAGACTGTGTTTTCTTCTTCTTCTCCTTTCTTTCTATTATTGCGCAACTCGTGTTCATTCTTTCGTTTTCGTTTCTTTCTGTTATTGCGCAATTCTTGCTTCATAATGGGATTTTCCTAAACTATTTCTGTTCTTATGTAACTCATGCGCAACTCTTGCATAACTGTTGTTCAACTTGTGTACTATATATAGCCGTTCACTTTCTTAAATAAAGATGAGAAGTGAGTGAGTAGAACCTCACACACTTTCTTGCCCAAGAAACGCAAGATCTTGGGACACTTCGTGGGGCAGATCTTGGCCGAGAAATCAAAACAAAACTTTCACTAGATCTTTCACTAGGTAAGCCTATAACGTTCGTACGCACTACATATAACGTGCATAAGAAAACAAAATAGCAAAGAAAAAAGAAAAGAAAATCGTTATTTGCACCTCTATTCTATAACACACATCATTGAAAGAATTTTTTCTCTTCGCTTTTCTCTTCTTTACTTTTGCACAGACACATAATATACGTCAACTACCAATAGTGACATAAATTTCAGAAATCCCTACATTTCATGGACTTCAATATCACAATATACACAGGGTAAACAACTCTGGATTGAAGCGAGATAAAAGTGATAAGCCGTTAAGGACTTTAAAAAAATACACTAGTCGGAAATACTTCCTACGCACGGAGAGTAAAGGTAATTTTAGTTTTTCGACAAGGGCTTTTCCTGGTGAATGAAAATCACGTGTGATCATGTGAGCTGCTAATTTTTGAACTGATTCAAGTTGACTTTCCAAATTAGCGAAACTAGTGTCATACAAAGCACAGGCGTAATCTAATTTAGCTAATATGCAGGTTTTATAAATTTGTAGACGAATTGAAGAGGGTGCATCTTTAAATTGTCTGTACATGGCGCCTAGTCGTTTTCTACAATTTAGTATAATATCTTCGATATGTTCACGCCATCTCAGATTAGAACTGACTTTAAGGCCTAGGAGTATAAGGGAAGGTTGGTGTGTTATGATCGTACCATCACTCAGTGTGAACTGTAAATTATTAGCTCTACTTGATATATTAGAGATAAACATCCAGGCACACTTATTTGCGTTTAAAGACATCAGATTTGAGGTACACCAGTTACATATTTTCTCAATATTCTCTTGACAAACAGTTGGCATATCAGACGAGGCCATTGGACAGTAGAGTGTATGCCAAATCAGCAAAAAGTATACTATCTGCTGATAATTTGACTACAGCTGGTAGTTCATTTATGACGATAAGGAAAAGTAAAGCACCAAGAACTGAACCTTGTACTACCCCGGACAGCACTGACGCAGGCGCAGATAAGGCAGCGCCAACACGTACTTGCTGGAAGCGGTTAGTCAAATAACTAGTAAACCATTTCAGCACATTCGATGACAAACCTAACAGCACTAAACGCGAAAGAATAATTTGAATAGTGAGTTGAATTTAGTGAGTTGGCTATCAACGATGATGTATCAATTGTCGGTAGAACAGCCGATGTAGAGGCGGTGGTCAAGAAATTAGAAGTTCCCACTAGTATAGAAATATCAGCCGATAGCAGTGGCAATGAACATAACGTTGTTGTAGTTGTTTGTGTTAATGGTGAAGAAGTTAAAGTTGTGGTGGAACTAGTATCTATGCACTAGCAATACACGGAAAAATATATATGAATCAAAAGCAGCAAGAAATGAAGTCGCATACGTGATTGAATTAATAATGATAGTGTGAATTCCACTAATTTTGTGATTCATTGCCATGACATTACTATATTAACAGGGCTTGTTTCGCCACATGATGAGGGCAAGAATTCATTTGATACGGTTCGTGTCAGTTTCTTTTTATTGTTATTGCATGAATACATTATCTTTTCTTTAGCAATTGCACGTTTATCATAAGGAAATATCCCCGCTTTGGCGAATCCGCCAGCACAGTAAGATGGACGTAACACAGTGGGCATTTTTTGCTAGAGCAGGCGGACTTTAGCTTCATGAGTGAACTAGAATTTCATGAACCATTTTTTTATAGGTTTTTCATGATCCTCTTTCTAATGGCATGAGAGTTGGGTTTTGAAAAAGTTTTCTAAAAAGTTTTCCAGAGATC